CCGCCGCCGGAGCTTCCGCCGCATCGCGGGCGCCGAGATCCAGATGGTCATCTTACTCATCGCCACCTCCCTGGTGGTGCTCATCTGCTCCATCCCGCTCGTGGTGAGTGGCCGGCCTGGGGCCCCGCTCCGGTCGTCTCTCCCGTCCACCTCCCTCCCTCTCGCCCCTCCCGCCCCCCTCCTTTCCCTCTCATTCCGGGGCAGCAGGCAGGTCTCCTCCAGGTATCCCCGCCAGGTCGGGCTGGGATCCCACCCTCAGCTCAGAGCAGCCCGATCTCCCTCCAGGCCGCATCCCTAAGGAGATGCGTGCAGCAGGTGCTTCCTCTCTCCCCTGGGACAGCCCCTACCCTCGGCTGCCTGACATTGGCCTTGAGCCTTCCCGGAACCCCGCCTCTGTCAGATGTGGAGGGGAAACCGCTGTAGGGTGACTGAGAACAGCAGAATCCGAAACATCAGGGTGCTGGTCTCTGGCGTACACCGTGCCTTATAGCAGTGGGGGATTAGGGGGTGTTGATTTATGTAGGGTTTGCGGGGAGACTCCAGAATTTTAGGGCTGGAACCCAACTCCCTCAGGTTACCTGCGAAGTGACTTGCTTACAATAATCTAGAGAACTCCCTGCTCTACCCGCAGTGCCTGGGAGGACATCTGGGTGCACTGTGGGGACAGGTGCTACAAGGGCGGGCCGTGTCCGGCAGGCAGGTCTGGCATTCTCTCGGGGTTAGGAAAGCAGGGTTCTTCAGGGGACCTATTCCCAGCAGGCTGAAGGCCATGGGTGCTGAATTGGAATCTCAGCAACTGTGAGGGGTGCAGGACCATTCTAGGGAGAAGGTGCTTATGTACTGTGGGCCCCCACTCTGCAGCTGGTGACCCCCAGTCCTGCCCTTACAGACGCTTCTAATTTTGGCCTTCCTGCCAGTGTGTGCTTGGGTTTCCATACACTTCGTTTTTAGGGCATCACCTTTTTTAAAATGGCCTCTGGGTTAACTTTTAAAACGTTATAAGTAGAAATGTTGAAGACCTACCTAGCTCTCCTCTGCGTGTCCTTAAAATGGAATGCACCAGAAACCCATGGGCAGATTACATAATGCTTTCCCTAGGGATTCCCTTAAAAGCAACTACTTCTGAGTTTTTTCATCTCTCAAAACACTGCATGCCTGGATATTCTAAACTACAAACTCAAGAGAGGACTTCTCTTTCTTATGCTGATTGGGAGCAAGAGCAAATAAATGTAATGTATCATTCCTTTCTTCCCCTTCCTAAACTGCCCAGCGATTTTGATGTAAAATAGTATATCTCTCATAAAAGTGACTGTAGACGAAGGAACTTGGAGGGGGCTGAGAGCCAGCACACAGTAGTAGCTTCTTGCCAGTTTGTATAAACAGAAGTAAATATAATTGGCCAAAGGGGCCTTTAAACCATTCCAGGACCCGATATAATTTAGGGAGTTAAGTCTCACTTGAGCCACATAAATATATTTTAGTGTGCGCAGTGGCAACTCAGAAGAAAGGGAGATTTGGGAAGAGGCAACGCAGCTCTGGCTGGGGCCCCCTTCCTGGGCCTCTGCCTGATGTGTTGCAGAACCATACAGGACAAAGGGAGCGCTCGGCACTTCCACTCGCAAGAACAGAGGTGCTGGAGCTAGAAGGCTAGCAGCCTGCACTACTTTTTAATTGTGTTGTGGTTGGAGTGAGCCTGTGAAGCTACCAACTACTGCACAGTCCCAGGTGAATTGCTTCCTTCCAGCTGAAGGGGCCGACGGGGCCCTGTGGTGCAGGACGGTTTATTACAAAACCTTTTTGAAACTACGGGAGAAGCCAGAGGCAAGAAATTGCAGGCGCTCTATTCGTGTTTGCAGATTAACCACATTTTAGGTAATGAATCCTGTCCACTCTATAGAAAGCCATTAATGTGTAGTAGATATTAAGTAATTTCACCCTGAAAATCGAATTTCAGAGTCAGTTTAATCGTAAATTAATGATACGCAAACAATGTCATGCATACTCCCCACCCACCCACAGCTTTGCAATTACCGGAAGAATTCAAATGGAAACTTATCCACAACTAGTCTTCTTTGGCATCTGTTTGCAACTTTCTTGTTTTGTTTTGTTTTGATGTTTCTCTGACATTTAAAGCAGCCGGACCTATCTTCAGTCCCAAAGAAAAACGAATGAAGCATCTTTTTTTAAAAACTTTATCAAATCAAGTTGGTTGCTAATTCTATTTGAGGAAAATCAAATCCTTCAAAACACAGAAAAGCTCCGGCAAGGCTCATAGAGCTCATACGGTTTGCTTAAAATTTCAGGGAGCCTGGCACAGCCACTGAAAAGCCAAGTTTTTGTCTTTTGGGGAAAAAGGGAAGCAGCAGCCCGGGTGGCTCTTAGAGGGCGGTTGACACAGAGTCCAGGATGCAAAGTAAATATTGTTATCCAACAGAAGCATGGCTCACAAGTGGGGCTGGGATTGGAAATGTGAGGGAGGTTGGGACATTAGTTGTGGCCATGAAGAAGTGTGCTGAACTTGCCAGATTTTCTAAAGTGAGTCATTCTCAACTAACTGCTGTTGTGCGTGCAACCGACAAGGGACGGTACATGACAGGATAGAGTGGGAGGGTGCTTCTTGTCAACCAGCCTCTGATTTTTTGAAACACAGGAGAAGCTGAAGAAATGAAAGATAAATAAAAGGGATTGTATTCTTTAGAAATATGCAAGCAAGACAGCCTGCTAAGGTCCAGTGTGAATGCGTAGCTGGATCAACCCCGGTGCCTAAGTTTGCCGTCACTGGTGTGAAGGGAACAATTACAATCAAATCTCTGCCACGGAACTAAACAGTTACACTGTAGGATGGGGAGAGGCATTTTCCCCACGCAAGCACCGCCGTGTTTATTGTTTACGGTTCCTCGTATTTCCTCTCTTCTTACTCTGAAGTAATAAGTATTCATCTGTTAAGGGGTAGCATGGCCAATTTGGTTAGTCTTCTGCCTGAAATTTAGGTCTTTAGATAGTGTCCTGTGAGTGTTTCTGATTATTAGGGCAGATGGGAACTACATAGAGAGACACTTGTTTCCCTTAAGGCAAACAGGAAGTAGAGTCATAAAACACCTACTGGGATTTCACTTGAGTAAATTCCCTTCTCTAGGTCCAAGAGACCCATAGATTTGAGTGTGATTACAGCAGAACCTGAAGGAAATGAAGATTTTTTTTATTCAAATAAATTGAGCTGAGTTTTTTTTTTTTAAATTAACAATTAAAAACGAAAAAAAAAAAGAAAAAAAATTAACAATTCCTCAAAGCAGTTGTTTAGTTATAGCCTCACATTGCAGAGCCAGGACTTGTACCTTGAAGACTGCATCTGGTATCTTGTTGACAAAAGCTCTGAGAATTCAGGGCTGGCCAACATTTTCACTCTTTCTGCACCTGTTTCCTCAACTGCAGACGAAGAATTTACATTATTACGCAGCTAACCGGGTGGTGGTGGATGAGTCCTCCTCTAAGGCTCTTCCCACCATGCTGTGCTGCCAGTCTAGGCTGGGTTTTATTGAACATCTACAAGATTTATTTTCCCCAGAGCAGGAGTGACTCCTATAGACTCCTAGTAGGATGCTGAAATAAAATTTTCGGTGTAGAGCCTGCCTGTAGGATTAGGCAATCTGCCTGCAGTATGTGGCCAGTTAGTGACCCAAAGGGAGGGGGAACTGAGTTCCAGCCACCCAGGCAAGAACTCTTTTCATTATTCTTTATGTAAAGTGGGTTTTTGTCATACACACAAAAGAAAGGTAATAATTTCTAGTAACAGCTGTATCAATGTGGGGCAGTAGGATAGCTGAGCACACACGGGACATGCCTTCGATGTGCCTGGCACAAACAAGTAGACACATGCACAGATCCACCTACGGGATCTTGTCCTTTATTGGAAAGCATTTCTACCTTGACAGTCGATGACTAAACATCGGTTCAATCAAGACTTGAGCGTTCTTTTCCAATTAGACATCCCCTGCCAACAGGTTCTTCTTAAACAGGAAGTACATGTTTTTGATACCGTGTCATTAGCTATACCCAAAAGCTATGTCTAAGCTGCAGTTTTCAAATTACTGATCGATTCCACAGTGGCCAAACTTCTACATATGGGTTACCAAGAGTGAGAAGAGCCTAGAGATATATTATATGTTAGCCACTTTTAATATTTTTTATTGATTTAGAGAAGAAAGGAGAGGGATAGAGAGATAGAAACATCAATAAGAGAGAAACATCCATCAGCTGCCTCCTGCTCGCCCCCCACTCGGGCTTGAGCCTACAACAGGGCATGTGCCCTGACCCGAAATCGAACTGGTGTTCACTTGGTTCATGGGTCAAGGCTCAACCACCAAGCCACACCAGCTGAACTGTTAGCCATTTTTACTAAGTGCTTCCATAATTTGTACATAAATTAGAAGGAGCAGAGCCAGAATAGAGGTTTGATTCCAATGCTCAGGCATTTACCTCTATAGCAAACAGCCTCCTCATAACTTTGCTGTAGTCACATATTCCATTGAATGTGTCATATTTTCTCCTTCACCCTACACTGTAGTCATCTTCAGGAAGTTGAGATTATTGTAAGGTATGCCAATACTAACAATTAACTACATGCACAAATCTGCAGCTACTAAAAAATAGGCTAACTTGTAAAGTTGCAAGAGGTTATGTATGTTTGTATTCGGTGATTTTTTTTTTTATGGTGTTTTTCCCTCCTGACTCAGAGGTTCTGTTTTTATCATCAGCACACTCTTCCAACACTGAAAACTGCCTGAACATGTTTATTTGTGTTACATACATGGCCTAATGAGAGAAAACTCCAGAAAAGTGCTTTCATCTACCTACCCATGTGACATTGCTGTGGATATTCCCATCTTAATTTGGGGTTTCCCCCTTTGGAAAGAGCAAATCAAGTAGCCTTGAAAGTGAGGCAGACATTGCTATAATTTTCGAGTGTCATGGAGTACATGGAGTTTGTGTTCGTTTTTGTCTTTTTTTTTTTTTTTTGTACTTCAAGTCAGTCTCATTGAGAACATGCTGCAAAGGCAAACTCACTCGTCTTCTTTTAAAATAATTTAACCGACTTTTGAGAATGCTCTTACCTGAATATGGCATTTTGCTTTTTCTATTTATCTTTTCCCACTCTGTCAACTCCCCCTTACTGAAACAATGTTAAATGACCAGGCTCAGTGCCTTGTGTTAATTGTAAGCTTCCCTCCCACTCCCGAAATGGAACTCTAAAATTGGGCTTCCTTAGTTTCCTGCCCTTATCTGACTGAAAGCATGGCATGAATTTCCCTTCATGAAGGTGGCATAAATTTCCCCCCTCCCTCCCAGGACCAGGGTGAGTAGAGTGACCCTTATCACGGGAGACAGAACCAGCCAGCACCAAGATGAGCCTGCATAAACCTCCTTAAAAAACCTCTTATCTTCTATTAGTCCCCGATATGTCCCCTAGTTACTGCTCCACATTTGACCTCTCTGGAAGCCCAAACCCTCTTTTCTTTGTTAAAAAGGATACATACGCTTCTTTTAGTTACTTCTTTTGTGAATGCCTGTGCACATAAAAAATATTAATAAATTTGCATATCTTTTCTCCTATTAAAATAAATAAATAGGGTTTCCTTTCATTTCCTGTACAGTAGTCAAAATTAATTACTGCTGTGGATGAACTGCAGCTTAGAAATAATTCTTTCCTTGCCTATCATCACCTTTGATTATGAAAGCCCATTATTAAATTTTTTTTTTTACAAAACTCTGATCTTTCTAAAAGATCATAGAAATTTAAAAATAAAATGCTAACCCCTAATACATTCCCTTAAATAGCTACAAATTTCATTCCTTTTATATCCATTTTAACTGCCTTTCATTAGTAACCATGTTTTCTTTGAGGTTGTAGTGGGAGAAGCAACCAGCAACAAAACATTTAAATGTTAAAAATATCAGAAATGCTAAATTCAGGCTTCATCAAAATTCTGTTCTGAAAAGTCTTTAGAGTTGGCTGGGCAAAACGCTTCCTAGGAATGCTCTGTGGGACCAGAGTCCCAAGTGGAACAACACTGCCACCTAGAGGCTGCAAGTCTCAAGTTCTATAAACCCTGCCATAGGTCTTTCTTTTTCCTGGAGTCTGTGAACACCCAGAGTGCCCCTGCTTTAATCCATCATTTCTTTTCTTTTTAGGAACATTAGTATATGATATGAGTAAAATGTAAACCCCATTCTTTTTAGCAATAATTCCATTGCTGGGAAATAATTGTTAAACAGAAAGCCAGCCAGCCTGGTAGAACAGAAAAAGCAACATGGAGGTCAGTCATCTGGAGACCTGGGGCCCAAACCAGAGTTGGCCACCCACAGAGTGGAGACCTGGATAAGTTCCTCTAAACCTCTAGATCTCAGCAACATTTCATCCAAGAAGAGGCCCGTAGATGTAAGAGAGGTGAATCTGTCCAGACACAGCTGGGAACCTCAATCGAGACTGTGGTGGGAAGAAACCAAGTGGCTTTGTCCCACAAGATTGTGTACTTTAATCAGAAAGAACTTTACATTCTGGAGTGAACACTACCCCCCCCCCCCCCCAAAAAAAAGTGAGTAAATAAGTGATTATAGTAAGAGCAAAATTTTCTGCCAAAAATAAGGCTCCAAAACAGCAAGTAGGTAGGGTCTCCTTGTGTTTCTTTCATTTAAGCCATACCTGGCCTGTGGGTATGTGGGCTGGCCCAGTGCTTCTTCCCCTAAACAGCTCCATCTGCACTAGAATGGCCTGTCATCCGTAGGGATGGTGCATCCAGAGTGTTCTTTTAGCTCTTGGCTACTTACCAGCTCAAATGCTGGACAGGCACAAAGGCAAGATTCTGATTGGAGTTTCAGGGTGGAGTCATTGAGCAGAGTTGCAGAGCAGAACAAGAGTTCAAAAGCCACAGGGAGCTAAGTAGCATGATCAGATCTGCATTTTAGAAATAATCTTCTGGTGGCAGTTTGGAGGATGAATTGGAGAGGAGAGCTTTTGGTGGTGGGAACTCTAGTTTCGTGGCTGACGCAATAATCCAGGTGAGAAATGCAGTTAGGGAAAAGATTGGAACGGGTTTTTAGAGGAAGAGGTTATTATGACTGGGGAACAGACTCAGAAAAAAATAAAAACTTCTCTGGTCATTCTGGATGACAGCAGATTCAGACATTGGCTCAACAGTTACAGTATATTCTTTCTAGACTCTAAAATAAAGGAATCTCTGGGCTTGTCTGTGATGACTAGATGGTTAGCTGACTTACAAAATGAGTTTCACTTCAATATAAGTGGCAGCTGGAATAAGGAAAATAAAAGGCTATTGGAGAAAAAGAATTCCTGCCCTGGCCAGGGGGCTCAATTGATTAGAGCATAGTCCCAATACACCAAGGTTGTGGGATCTAAAGTTGCAGGTTCAGTCCCCAGTCAGGGCACATGCAGGAGTCAACCAATGAATGCATAAGTAAGTGGAACAACAAACAGATCTCTCTCTCTCACACACACACACACACACACTCTCTCTCTCTCACACACACTCTCACTCTCACTCTCTCTCTCTCTCTCTCTCTCTCTCTCTCTCTACCTTCTTCTGCTTCTCTAAAATCAATCAATAAAAATTTTTTAAAAATACTTCATTAGAATTACCAAACCTTAAAAGCACATAGAAATGAAGTTAATAAAATGCTTTTCAAGGGAACTTTATGCACGGTTACCTGTTCACATGTTGCATTCTTGTATGGCATCTTTGATCTAGGAAAGGCATGTTACAAAAATATTTGAAGTTACACGGACTCGAAACATAACTGCAATTGCACAGCGAATGGTGTTCCTGACGCTTATACTCTTTCTTTGGCACTTATTACCAGAAAAGAGGGCAGCTACCTACTGTTGCTAAATTAAACGCTGCAGCAAACGTTTCCCGGTTGACCAAAAATACAATCTGATCGTGGCCATCTCGTTTGTGCAGGTGCGAGTGTTCATCAACCAGTTATATCAGCCGAACTCAGTGAAAGAGATCAGCAAAAACCCAGACTTGCAGGCCATCCGAATCGCCTCTGTGAACCCCATCCTCGACCCCTGGATCTACATCCTCCTGCGGAAGACAGTGCTCAGAAAAGCCATGGAGAAGATCAAATGCCTCTTCTGCCGCATCGGCGGGTCCGGCAGAGACCCCTCGGGGCAGCACTGCTCAGACAGCAGACGGACATCCTCCGCCCTGTCCGGCCATTCGCGCTCCTTCCTGTCCCGGGAGCTGAGGGAGATCAGCAGCACGTCCCAGACTCTCCTGTACATGCCAGACCTCGGGGACACGGGCCTGGCGGGCAGGAATTTGCTGCCGGGGGTGCCTGGCATGAGCCTGCCCCAAGCAGACACCACCTCCCTGAGGACTTTGCGAATCTCAGAGACCTCGGACTCCTCGCAGGGGCAGGACTCGGAGAGCGTCTTACTGGTGGACGAGGTTGCGGGCAGCGCTGGGCCCGCCCCCAAGGGCAGCTCCCTGCAAGTCACATTCCCCACTGAAACACTGAACTTGTCAGAAAAGTGTATATAGTGGCTAAGAAAGGAGTACAGCTGTGTCTGGAAGCTCACAACATCCTGTGCAACAGACACGTGGTGAAGCATTTATTGAGCTGTGCTCGGAAGGGCTGTTTTGTCCTGGGACTCCCATGAGGGACATCTGGGTTTTGAGCACGTTTCACACAATCAAGCTGATTCACATGGCTCCTGAGGCCTGAAACTCTTGGTCGCACCTGTACGGGTGGATTTGGGCCAGAACTCGATTGCAGAGATCTACCCTCAGTTTCCTGCTTCACAGGAAGACGGCCAAGTTTTGCTCTTGTCAGAACATTTGGAGCGGAGCGTTATACCTGCACACAGCAGGCGGGGCTGAAGGGCTGCAGGCCAGTGAACTATGAGGGCTATCTGTCTTAGGGATGATTGAAGTGTCTCACTAAAGCATGAAATGTGAATTTTATCGTTGTAAATATGATTTAAGGTATTTAAAGTATTTCTTCTCTGTGAGAAGGTTTATTGTTAATACAAGGTATAAGTGTATGGTAACCCCTCTCCTCCCCAGTATAACAAGCTGAAGTTATAGATGTTAGATTTTATTTTCATAAGTAAGTTCAGGCTGAGGTGTTGAAAATTCACAGAGAAACTAATACCTATAAAATGGATATAGATTTTTTTAAAAGGAAGAGTTTAGTACTATTAAAAGAATAAAGAAAAATACTATTTTAAGACATGAAAATTACAGTCCAAACTATTAAAGTTCCTTCCCAACCTATGTGTACTTCATAGTGAGAAATGTTTAGTGCTGGCTACATGTATGTATCCAGAAATCTGTGATTTCAGGAGAACCTAACATACTGGCCAGTATTTTCTACTTTTGTCCCCACAAACTGGTACTTTTAAAATGTAACATAAAATTTTAAAAGTCTTTAATAAACAACTCATAGTTAAAGTGTACAATATAAAAGTAAAAAGTCTAAGCAGCTTGTTTTCCCCCTGAAATTGTGTATAGTTTTACTTTCCTAAGAACTGATCTAGAACATCCTTGAAAACTTAAGAGGAAGACAGATTGCATGCACCATAATGACTTTTACTTTGCAACGTGAAAGAATTGGTTAACCTTTCACAGATGTTAGAAGTCTAACCAGATAACAGGTGCAGTGCGTGGGCACGTGAGGTCACCTTCTAACAGTTTTGTGTCATGCCCTGTAATCCTATACACATATGAAGGAAACCTTCTCAAAGAAATATTAAGCATGTTTTGTTGCTTACAAGTGTTTTTGTGAATTGCCTGGTTGTAATTAAATTCTGAGCCTGATAGTGATATGGTTTAAAGAAGCAGTTGTACCAACTGAAATTATTTTGGAGATTATAATAAATAAATACACTCACTCTGAGTTCCATATCCTCGGTTTTGGAGAGAACAGTGTGCTTTTTTTTGTTTGTTTTAGGTTATCTTCTATCTTTTTCAATTGGAATATTTTTTAAAATTTTTATTTTGATATGATGTCAAATTTACAGAAAAGTTATAAGAATAGTAGAAAATCTTGGATAGACTTAGTGGAGAATGGTATTTAGAAACCAAGATCTAGGTACCTAACTCACCTGTTTGTATGGGTGGTGGGAGAGACAGTATGACTTCCTGCTTGTAAATTCTCAGCGGTTCTCACACTTCAGCATGTATGTCACCTGGAGAGCTTGAAAACACAGTTTCTGATCTGGGAGGTCTTGGCGGGGAGAGGGGCAGGAGGATGCACATGTCTAAAAAGCTCCTAGGCGATGCTGACTCTGCCTGAATGACACACTTCAAGGAGCAACAGTCCCCAGGAGCAAAGTCATGATTTGCAATTCGCAAGTTTTTAAATGTATTTTTGGATGATGTCAGCAAAACGACTCATTTTCAGACGTGATGGACCAGTGATTCTCAGCTGAGGCAGGGATGGCTCAAAAAGAGGGCATCCAGCCCTAGCTGGTTTGGCTCAGTGGATAAAGCGTTGGCCTGTGGACTGAAGGGTCCCAGGTTCAATTCCAGTCAAGGGCACATGCCTGGGTTGCAGGCACGATCCCCAGTAGAGGGTGTGCAGGAGGCAGCCGATGGATGATTCTCTCCCATCACTGATGTTTCTACTATCTCTCCCTTCCTCTCTGAAATTATATATATATATATACATACACACACATATATATATACACACACACACACACACACACACACACACAGAGAGAGAGAGAGAGAGAGAGAGAGAGAGAGAGAGAATATCCAGCTCAAATTTCTAAAATGTCCTATTTTATCAATGAAAATAGTTCTGTTTCCTCAATTTATACTAATCAGTGCCTAAGAAATGTTTTCAGAGAATATTTTACTTGTGAAAGAGACTTTTTTCTCCCATGTACACAATGAAACACCTAGATTTATATGTAAATGAATATATAATGTATATATTCATCACCCACATTCATGGAGGAAAAACTAAAGCCACATTCACAAGTTAGCATTACTAATATATCAAAGCATAAAATCACTCATCCTTTTCTTCAGATTCACCATCCAGAACACTGATTCTGGATTATTTTTAATTGAAATATCATTCACATATTTTATAATTTGCCTTATATTTTAGTATGTTCACCAAGTGCAACCATCGCTGCTATCTAATTCCAGAACATAGTCATCATCCCAGAAAGAAACCACGTACCCATTTGCATTCGCTCTCTAATCTCTAACCCCAGCCCCTGGCAGCTACCATATGGATTTGCCTATTCTAGGCATTAATGGAATCATACAATATATGTGTGTGGCCTTCACTGTCTGGCTTTCTTCACTTAGCATGTTTACAAGGTTCATCCATATTAAAGCATGAGTCAGTACTCCATTCCTTTTTATGGCTGAATAATATTTCATTATATGGATACTAGAGGCCCAGTGCATGAAATTCGTGCAGCGGAGGGGGGATGGGGTCCCTCAGTCAGGCCTGCACCCTCTCCAATCTGGGACCCCTTGGGGTAAGACATCCCTCTCGCAATTTGGGACCACTGGCTCCTAACCACTCACCTACTTGCCTGCATGATGGCCCCTAACCACTCTACCTGCCTGCCTGATCACCCCTAACCACCTCTGCTTGCCAGCCTGATTGCCCCTAACTGCCTCTGCTTGTCAGCCTGGTCACCCCCTAACTGCCCCCCTTGCCCTGCCGG